GAAAAAAAGATAAATGAAAAGGAAGTATAAGCAAGGCTTGAGGACAAAGGATGATCATGCAAGTCTTTGGGAATTACAGAAGAGGGCAGAGGAGATAGAATGAAGAAGTAAGCAAGGGATTATCTAAGCTTGGTCTTGGTGGTGGGATCAGTTTTCTGTGGCTGTAGTTCTCACCAGCAATTTAGAAAAGAGAAAAAAGAAAAATAAAAAAAGAAAAGGGGCCACCCCAGCTACCTATTTCTATTCCATGTGTCTTTGATCCTGAGAACAAGGCTGGTTCACCAAATTTACCACCTGTTGGCCTGTATTGTTAATGTTGCTTTGAACTTTTCCATGCCTCTAGTCCTGCTTGTCCATTATGTGCACCGTAGCCATGGTCCTACTATGTGGCTGGCATTCCCTGGTTGCCTGGACCCAGCAATGTAGGAGGGTGGAGCCAGTCACTTGGATTCTTCCCAGGCTGGTTGCTGGTCCTGCAATGTGTATATACCTAATTTCTGAAGGCTAGATTTTAATTCATTTTTAATATTTTTTTGAAATTCCAGACTTTTTCAGGTAATATGAAACCAAATGTTAGAATCTTTAAATACCTAAGTTGTGTATGATATAATAGCCATAAAACTGTGTGAATATTTTAATATTTTTCTTTTTATAATAAAATTTTTATATTTTCCATACATTAATTCATTTGAAGTTATATAAATCACTTATATATAGACCAGAGGTCCCACTAAAATTTCATGATTTGTGGTTTAAATTTTATTATATGCCTAATGTTGTGTTCACCACTACAGTTTCATATAGAATAGTTCAACATCCTAAATATCTACTGTGCTTCACCTATTCATCCCTCCCTCCAAGTCACTGGCAAGCACTGATCCTTTTACCGTCTTTGTAGTTTTAACTCTTCCAAAGTGACAGTTGGAATTATACAGTGTGCAGTGTTTTCAGACTGGCTACTTTCATACAGCAATATGTGTTTAAGTTTCCTTGATACATTTTCATGATTTGATAGCTTATTTTTATTGACACATAATAATTTCCAAATATATCATAGTGTCTTTACCTACACACCCATAAAGAAAATCTTGCTTGCTTCCAGTTTTTGGTGACTATGAATAAAGCTGTTATGGACATTTATTTGCAGATTTTATTGTGAATATAAGTTTTTAATCCTTAGGGTTCATACTTTTCTTTTTAAAAGTGATATTTTATTCTTTTTTAAAACTTTGACCTAATATCTATAGGCAATGCCAAATGTGTTACAAGTTAAATTTATTCTCCTATTTAAAGTATCCAATCTTGTAATTCTCACAAGCAGCTGTGCCCTCTAAATTCTAATATCTTTGCTTACTTGCGTGACTTGCTGAAATAAACTTGGGAGTTTTTTTTATATTCTCTTTATTTCAATATTGACTATTTTTAATAAGAAAAGTGGTTAAACTTACTAAGAAAGTGTAGGGGGAAAAGGTCTAAATGGGACTAATTATCTTAATATGTTCATTCAAGATTTTGTTTATTTAAGATGTACCTTGGCAAGTGCTATTGCATAATAAATAAGCATCAGTAATTTGTAGTCCCACTTTTCATTTGGCCGAGTTCAAACCTCCTGAACTCCCAGGTCACAATGTTACCTATAATAGTTGATCAACATATCATGCATCATAACTTCTGCTGTCTCTTTTCTTATTTTTTAAAAACGCTTCTTCTGGATTCTGTAACCACATGCAGTACTGGGATGTTATATTACTCTCCATTTATTTTATTTTTATTTCTCCAAATGAATTGTAAACTTCATGGTCACAAATTTGGATATACATGCATGTACAATTTCTGCCCTACCTCAACTTCCAGGCCATAACCATCTCATGGTCAAGCATGTGTATCAGTACTTTCACTGGGTGATGGAGAAAATACACCAAAGGAAATTTTTCTTTGTAAATATGGTCATCATGAGCAACACTTTTTTTGAGACATGATCTTGTTTTGTACTTCAGGCTGGCTTTAAAGTCATTGTGTAGCCCAGGCTGGCCTCAAACTCATAGCAATCCTCCTACCTCAGCCTCTCAAGTGCTAGGATTATAGGCAGGTGACACCATGCCCAGCTATGATCAACTCTTGAGTGAGATATTCTTTTTGATATTCTTAAGATTTAAAAAACAATTCTCCCTTCACTGATATGTATACTATCTCTATTTGTCTTCCTCTCACTCTCTTCATATGTTATCTGAAGCTACTCAAATATTTACAGAGTAACTCTTATGAACCCAGCAAAAATGCTAGGTCCTAAAAGTACAATGGTAAGCAAGGTCATTCAATATCCATAGAACAACACAGAACCTACAGAAACTGGCGTCTAGTGGAGACACAGATAATGAAAACTAATTACTGGCACCAGATGGAAGTTGCTAATGGGCAACATGGTTATGTAGCTGGAGTACCTGGTGCTGTTTAGAGGCTGTCTGGAGGGACAGAGATGCTGAGGACGAGTAGGAATTACCAGAGAGGTAAGAATATATTCTAGACAGAAAAAGAGAGAAGAAGAGAGACAGAAGGAGGAAAGTGGAGGAAGGGAAAAGAAAGAAGGCAGGGAGAGAAAGAGAAAAAGAAGATTGATTTGTTACAGCAACTCAAAGGAATGCTGTAAAGTTATCATTTGGTGTAGCATAACATGGGAATGGGTAAGTAGTCAAATGAAAGTTTTAAACTGGGGAGTGACATATGAAGTTTCTGTTTTAGAGGGCTCTCTTCCTGTCCACAAGAAATTTCTAATCTGGCCTTGAAGGAACTTGGGATCCTATAATCCAGGTGAGAGATAAGGCCTAGTGTAATGTCTGTGGAATTGGAGAAAAGTAACTGATTTGAGAAGTATTTAGGTAATGTCTAGTATGATTTACAGAACTTTGTGGTTGATAACAAATGATGGGAGAGATAGTAAACTAAGAGGACATGTTGTTTCTGATTTGGGTAGCTAGAAGGGTAGACAATTCTTCCCTGAGATGGTGCAGGCCTAGAGGACAGCAGATTTGAGTGTGGAGACAAGCTTATTGAACTGAACTTAGATATTGGATTTGAAGTGCCTGAGAGACATGTGAGTATACACATGTATGTGGAACTCAAGTGGAAGTTTACATTGTATATATATAGTAGATTTGTAATCTTTGGAACAGAGAGAAAGTCACTGAAGCCACAAAATGGGTGAGATAACTGAGAAAATATGGGTCCAGCAAGAAGTCTCTCCCCAGTTAATCTATCAGTTGGCAGTGGTCTTGAGTAAGGGGCAGTGATTCCAGCATGGAGAGTTTATAATACCATTTCCCACTTAGCTGTTATGCTGAAAAAATGTTACCTGAGAACACACACACACACACACACACATACAGAGCTTCATGGTCAAATAAGTCTGGGAAAATATGAGTAGCATATTCACTGCTTAGTGAATATTAACTCCATAATGAACCTTTTGGAGTTGGAGTGTACCTCAGTGGTAGAGTGTTTGCCTAGCATATATGAGGCCCTGGCATTGATCCCCAGCATCTCAAACAAAGAAACAAAACAAAACAGCCAAATTTTTATCTTGGTTTAACTCAGTTCCCCACAGGGTCAGCCCTCATTATAGATTATTTCAGAATCTGAATGTCACAAAGTGAAGGAAGAGGAAGAGAATTAATTTTTTCAGATGCATGCTTCCAAGTCAAGCACTGGAGAGAGTGTCATCCATCTGTTCCCTTATCAGATAAAGAAATTGGTGCTCAGTGACTGATTCTGAATTTCACAATTGGCTAGTAATATATTTGAATTGTTGCTAAATCCTCTGATTTTTTCAATCTAAAAAAAATTCCAGTAGATGCAATTTCAGTAGTAGAGCTGAAATTATAAATATGTTTGTCAAAATCTCCATCTCACAGTGTTTCCCCAATAACATTCTCTGTAACTTTAAATTTTGATTCTAGTTCTGCCAGTTCTTAGTTTTACAATCTTGGGTAAATTCTCTAATCTCTTTGAGTCTGTTTTCTCATCTATAGGTGAAGATATAACAGTAACCAGTAGGATTATTATTAGATGCTACTATTAATAAACTGAAGCTGACAGGTTGAGATTTGCTGAAGATCTCACAGCAAGCAGAGATAAAGCTAGGACTGAAACTCATTTGCTCTCTCAATCTGGTGCTCCCTCTATTAACCAAATCATTTCTACTGATGCACCTCGAATCATGTCTTAGGGACCATCACTGACAATATCCTCACATGAGGATAAACTTACTTTTGGTACAGAGAAATGTGAAAGTGATGTGCAATCAAAGTGAGTATTAGCCAGGCATGGTGGTGCATGCCTGTAACCCCAGCACTTGGGAGGGTGAGGCAGGAGGATCCTTGCAAGTTCAAGACCATCCTGGGCTATAAAGTGAGCTCAAGGCCAGCCTGAACTGCATAGTAAGACCCTGTCTCAAAAAGACCAAAAAAAAAGTGAGTCTTAGAGATTGCATGAAGTCCATTGGAAAGAGTGTGGGGAGAGAGAAGAGTATGTTGAAAAGGACATCTGTAACCTAACCCTAGAAAACATAAATCTAACATGTAGAAACATAACCCTAACCTTAGAAAACATAAATATTGATTTAAAATTTTACTCCAGTGTCAGTCCACCTGAATGGGAAACTGTTGTGGTAAGGCCAAGAATACCTATTCTTGAGTAGTTTCACAGGTAATTCTGAGATGCTATGTTGGTTAAGAATCACTGTTATTCTTTAGACAAAAATCATCACCCAAATTACCCTACAACCCACCAGGACTCTCAGATTAGTGCCTGGACCAACTTGGTTTTCAAATTTTCTTTGTTTCACAGAAACTAGTTTACGGTGGGTTGTTGGAGGAAGCTTCTAAAAAGCTGGGGGATGGGTTGAATCTCTGAGTCTAAGAAGGTAGACTCAGCCTCACTTCCTCCCTCTTCTCATCTGGCTTCCTGTCGTCACAGTACGATCACATTTTTTTTTTTTTTTTTTTGCCCTTTACTTCTCCTTTTACACAAATAGGCCGGACATCTGTTTTACCAGTCTTGTTGTAGCCACCTCAAAGATAATAACCAAATCCTGCTTGAAGGACTGAGGCAAGGTGCCTGTGAAAGGTAAGACTGATGACTTTTTAACCTTGTTTGAGTGTAAAGCTCTAAACAATTCTATGTAGGGTAGGGTAGCTTTTTAGGAGACCCCATATACCACTCTAGTAACTTTAAAACCTCTTATTTCACAACTATCTAGTGCTGCAAGTAAAAAAGATGAGCAATGTCTTAGTAACAGTGAAAGAGGTAGTCAAGTCAGAACTACTTTGACTTAACCAGTTTCCCATTATCTAACATCTCTTTGAGTCTAGCGATTTACATGTTTAAATTGCTACAGAATGTGAATTACTGATTATGTATGGTAGTTTGTGGTGCCTGGAGTTTTCTGTGTGAGATGAAGTTGGGGAGATTTCCTATGTGCTTTTGTCTTTAGAAGATTGGTCTTGTGATTTTTAAAGTAGGACAAAAACTCTCAGTCAGAGCCATTTAGAAAGGCAGCTGGGAGATGTAGCTCTTCCCCATTTGAGAAATTTTCAAAAGTAAAGAGGCACTATATGACAAGATGTCTGAAATTCATAACACAAGAGATGCTATGTGAATGTACTGCAAAAAGTGAAGGCTAGATATCACTAAGGATACCTAATATGTTGGCTTTCAAAGAGCAGAAAGAATATTGTGATCTGCAGGGCACCCCCAAATTAACTTGTTCTTGGTATACAAAACATGAACATTGATAAATACAATATTAAATTTACTTATGAAAAGCAATCCACTGATCTCTATACAACAATAATTTCCAGTTCATATGCTATGGCTGATGAAGTCGCAAGGAATCAACAAAATGGTAGTTCAGCTTTTATTCTGACTTTTGGTGAGCACTATAGCAACTGCTGGTCACTACAGGAAATTCTATATCGGATCTTTCTTCTTCCAAGATCTATGAAAATTTCATATGATTATGTCCTAGAATATATATAGGAAAGTCCCCTGTGACCTCATGCACCCACCTAAGAATGAGAGGTTGGGATTTGGCACAGGGCTTTAGACTCCCAAAACATGTCAGGTACTATTGAGCTTTGAATTTGAAATAAAGACCAGACTTTGAATACATTCACTTATTGATCATCTCAGTCAAGTACCTACTCAGGCCAGACACTGTTTTAGAAAATCCAGGTATGAGAAGTGTTGAGGTGGAAAAGAAATATTTGCCCACCAATAGTCTTGGCCTGAAGGAACTCCCATGGGAGATAAGAAGTACCTTACTTATAAGTTCTTTGGAAAAAAGTTGAGCCAAAAAAAAAAAAAAAAAAAAACCTTTGCTGCTGTGTGAGCAATGTTTCGCTTTCTCAATCTTAAGTGGAATCTGTACTGTTTTGAAACTGCGGTTGAATGGAAGCAGAGGCTAAACTGAAACATAATTTCCGGAGATATTTCCTGTGTGAGCCAGTTAAGCATATTTAGCTTTTAAATGAAAGCATGGGGGGCTTTTATAACTACAGAAAATTATTCAAAGACCATTCTTTCACAGCTATTGTTACCACTACTTAAGTGACCTCACTTTTGTCCATCAATAAGAAGCACAAAAGAGAAGGATAACTCTCTGCTCGTCTTTAGTTTCTTTTTTTTTTTCTTTTTTTTTTTTTTTTTTTTGGTTTTTCTCCGGTACCAGGAACCGAACTCACGACCTTGTGCTTGCCAGACAGGCATTTTGCCGCTGAGCTAAATCCCCAGCCCCTTGTCTTTAGTTTCTTATGCCCTCTTGTTAATGCCTGACTACCCAGACACCTCCAGGCTCCTATTGTACCTCATCATGTCCATCCTGAAACATAGCAGTGGCCAGGCATTCTGCTCAGTTCTTCAGACACAAAGATAGTGAGCATTGTGGTTGCCAATATGAAAGTGTCTCTCATGGAGAACAGTCATAGCAATACACAAATATAACTCAATATGCTTTTGTATATAAGAGCAGGAGAATGTGTACAAGATGAAGGAGGAGTTCAGAAATGTGTCAAAGACTCCATAGAAAAGGGAGTGACTGCCTGAGTTCACTTTCAAAAGAGTATGAGTTTCCTATGGAGACAAGATAATGACATTCCAGACACAGAGAGTAATGTATGCAAAGTCTAAGAAGTATGAACCCCCAGCACACTAGAAATGAAACTAAGCAAGAGAAACTACAGTAAACAAGTCAGAGGATGATATAAAGGCATAAGCCCTTTGTCTTACTTGGCACTTGAAAGTGGATGGCAAAATCATTGAATAAAGAGGTCTTGGTCTATCCCTGGACAGTCGTCCAAATGACAGTATTAATGGGATGGGGCTTTGAATGAGGATGAAGAGGCAGATTTCTTTCTCTTCAACATAAATTTTCCCTTAGATCAGAAAGGAAGGGTGGAGCTTTGGTGAAGTTACAACCACTCTCTTTTTCTCAACTTCTGTTCCAGGAACTTCTATGTTGATTTAGTTGCAGTGGTTTTGTGTTCTTCGTAAGCTCACACATGTCCAATAAACATCCACTTTGTGCAGATCATTCTGGGCCTATGAGTTGGGCCACTATCTTTAAGTAGCTGCCAGGATCAGTTGCTACTGTAGGTGTGGAATGCTGGAGCAAAGTAACACAGAGAAGCCAGACAGCTGTGCAGAGCTGGCTTCTACATGGCTGCTGCAGCAGAGAAGATGGTTGCTGCGAAAGTTGGTGATCAGTTTGGGAAGGCAGTCTGAGAGTAGGTTTTAGTAAACGGAAGATATGCATTGCTAAAGTCCACGAGTGGCCACCACTGAGAGTGGAGATGATGAATGTTTATGTAGGGTTGTTTAAGTTTTCTTATCTACTGATTATCCATTTCACAAGGAGAGAGTGGAGTTCCTAGCTGAGTAGCAGCATCAGTAAATAGTAGCTATGGCAAAAACTGCAAAAAAAGTGTCATATTTCTACAACCATTTAAAATGAAAGATCTTTTACAAATGGAAGGAGGAATGAGAAATGGAGGGAGGGGGAGGGGAGAAAGGGAAAGGAGATTGGCAAGGAAAAATTAAAGAAAAAATTGAAATAGAGCTTTTTCAAAAAGGACGGGGAACAAGAGTTGGAGGGAGCACAGAGGAATGGGGGGGAAGAAAAAAATTTAAGATGTGTTATGTACATGTACAAACTCCCCATAATAAATATAATCATTATTTATTGCACACATATACTATAAAAATAAAAAAATAAAATGAGAGTGCTATATTCCAAGTGTTAGAATGTAGGGTGGAATTTAGAGATTATTTAGTTTCAAATAAAGTAACTTATAGTGACAGACCAATAAATGTTAGCTATTATAATGTTCTAATCTATTTTCAGTTGGAGTGACTTGTCCAAAATCATAAATTACTTAACTAGCTATTTAGAATATCTTGTTTGCTATTTCAAGATGTGGAAGAATATTATTTCTTCCACATTACACTATGCTACACTAAACTCCTTTTTCTTAGGGATTTCTAAAGAGGCATTGTTAGGATATGTTCTCTGTTTATATAAAGAAAATGTCAGTGCATTTTAACATAACCCAGTATAAAATATGTAATTGCAAATGCAGTTGATCTGAAATTAATATGCTAGGAAATCATATTTAATATATATTTACCAAAGCTTTGACATTTTATATTTAAAAGTACTAGATTGAAGAATAAGAGTGACAAATTATTTTGATATCTTATATCTTTTAAAAATTGTCCAAGTAGACGTGAAGCATGTCTTAATGTGCATGTTATATTAGAAACAAATAGAGGCTTTAACATTATTTCGTGGTTCATTTTTCTAACAATAGCTATCGTATTATCTTATAGCTATTATCGTTATAGCATTTATAACATTAGAGACCGAAACTGTAATAATTTTGGGATCAGAATAGCTTAGGGTATTTTACTCATTTTTAACAATTTTTGTTGGTGGTTTTACTTTCTGACAAATATTTAGGCTTATAGAAAAGTTAAAGAAAAGAAAATAGTATGAGGAATTTCTAAACTCCAGAACCAGGTAAAATGACACCCCTATTTCCCAAATATTATCATTTTATCACATGTGCTTTATTTTTCTCTAGTTTTCTCACAGGAGAGTAATTGTTAACACTATGTCCTTTCTCTTAAGTATTGTAGTTTGTACATCTCTATAAAGCAAAAATTATCTTATATAACCACTTTACACTGATCTAAATCAGGAAGCTAACAATGATAGGATACTATTAATAATATACAGATTTTATTCAGGTTTTACCTATCACTCTATTAATATTATTTATAGTAAAAGGGGGCCAGGGATATAGCTCAGTAGCATAAACACCTGCTTGGCAAGTGCAAGGTCCTGAGTTCGATTTCCAGTACCAAAAAAAAAAAAAAAAAAGAAATCTATTTATAGTTAAAGGAACTCTTCAATCATACATTACCATTAACTACCATGTCTCTTTATTCTTTTAGTCTGAACAGTTCTGGAGTCTTTCTTTTTGTTTCATATCATTCATATTCTTAAAGAGTAAAGACTAGTTATTTTATAAAATGTCTCCCTATTTTAGTATTTTGGTATTTTCTCATGATTAGATTCAAGTTATTCACTCTGTTGATAGCATTGCCAAAGAAACAGCTTTTCTTATTTCATAAAGAGCTCTGCTTAAGCTGGGAGTAGCTTGCTTAAGCACATGATGAACAGGCCTTTAGAAGAAGGACCCTCTAGTACACACATTTATATATTTTAGGATAAGAAAGACAGCCTCTTCTCAATGGACTGTGTGATAGTTCTGGATAACTGTTTTTTATTTAGGTAGTGGCCTTATTATAATGATCCCTATCCTACTTCAGCTGTCAGTATCATCTTGCTAAGCTTCCAAGGGGAGAATTTGGACTGTAAAGATCATCTGAATTTGTCTTTCCTCAAGTTTTCTCTTTTTTCTCTTCCTTATTTGTCTCTTCTTGAGTTTGTGTGCGTGTGTGTGTCTGTATATTTGTGTGTGTGTTTAACAAAGGGCAAACAAAACAAGTAAAGATATTTCCAAGAAATTAAATGAGTAAATTATTATTAAAAACTTCTGGCAACT